GCTAGATGGATGGATAGTTGGATGGATGGGTGGAAGGCTAGATGGATACAGGTGGATGAGTAGAGTAGATGGATGGGTGGAAGTCTGGATGGATGGATAAGTGGATGCATGGGCAGAAGGCTGGATGAATGGGTAGGTGGATGGATGGATAGAAGGCTGAATGAAGACTTTTTTTTGAGTTGGAGTCTCACTCCATCACCCAGGCTGGAGCGCAGTGGCATGCTCAGGGCCACCCCAGCGTCAACCTGCTGGGCTTCGGCAGTCCTTCCGCCTCAGCCTTCCAAGTAGCCAGAACTACAGGCATGCACTACCACACCCAGTTAACTTTCTGATTTATTATTGAGGCATGTCTCACCATGTTGCCCAGGCTGGTTGATGGAAGACCTCTTAGTGACACATCTGGGAAGATGTTGGTTGTGTAGCAGCATCCTTGCCCAGGTCATAGAGGAACAGGACCAGATAATTCTTGGAAAAGAGTGGCTGAATAGGGCTAACAGCTGTTCACTCTTCTTTACTAATGTCCAATCACATGCCTTTTTAGGTTTGTGATAGACTGCTATGAATTCTGGTTTTTTTATTCATAATTTTTTTCTTGGGGATGGGGAGAGGGAGCCCACTTTATTTTTTGAGTGGGGGTCTCATTCTATTGCCCTGGCTGGAGTGCAGTGGCATGCTCACGGTCACCTCAGCCTCAACCTGCTTGTCTCAGGTGATCCTTCCACCTCAGCCTTCCAAGTAGCTGGAACTACAGGCATGTGCCACCATGCCCGGCTAATTTTTCGATTTATTGTAGAGATAAGGTCTCGCCAAGTTACCCAGGCTGGTCTTGAACCACTGCGCTCAGGCAATTCTCTTGCCTCAGCCTCCCAAAATACTGGGATTACAGGCATGAGCTACCATGTCCAGCTGGGCGTCCACTTTTAAGATACTCCTAGGAGATTCTTTCCCCACTCTGCTTGAAAACTGCCATTAGTAGTTCATTTTATGGGATTGTGCATGGTCCTTTCACTAAGCCTTTTCTTTAAATGTAACTGTGGAAGACACAATAGGTTCCCATCCTCCCTTTTCCTGCTTGGGAATAAAACCCCACTGTGGTTCTGGTACAGGGAAGCCTGCGCTTTGGGGAGGCTGGACTCAGCTCCAGTCCCAGGAAGGGAACTGTGATTGGTTTCAGCCACCTGCGGGAGCTCTGCCCCACAAAGCCAGTGATCCTGTTAAAATGACCAAGGAATATAGTTCTAACTAAGGAAATGTGAGACGCTTCCAGCTTCTGAGGGGTTTCCCCATTTCTAAAAAAAGTACATGAAGAAGTAGTGCATCTGGGTAATGTCCCTTTTCCTGATCTGAAAAAGGATCAAGGTTTATTTCACTTTCATGGGTGACAGCACATGACAGGGGGTAGGGCGGGGTGCCGGGGAAACCATGTGCTTCCACTGGCAAGTCATGGGCAGCGTCCAACAGGAACAGTGCTCAGATTCCATGGTGCCCAACCTAGGGCACTTTTAAAACATGTCCACTACGGAGTCCCATCCCATTCAGGTTGAATCTGATTCTTGGGGGATGGGGGGTGGTGGTGGGATCTGGATCTCTATGGGCTTGACATGCCTCTCTCACACACCCCCCCCC